AGAAAAAAAAAAAAAAAAAAAAAAAAAAAAAAAAAAAAAAAAAAAAAAAATCAAAAGTCCCCTTACTGAAAATAAAAATGAGAGAATATTACTGATCTAAGACTTTATTTGTAAGGTCAAAAATTTGCAAAGACAACACTAATTTTGTTCTTATTTCTTTGACAGGGTGCCATTTTGACAACCATGCTGGCTACAAGGAATTTTTCAGGCATGTTATTAACAACTCTGCTCCTATTCTCTGCACAGTTTCTTCACAATTTGTTTTGTTTTGTTTTGTTTTGTTTTGTTTTGTTTTTGTCTTTTTGGAGTAAAAAAATCCAACTGGGAAAGTTATGTTGTTCAGGAATGCCAATGGGTCACAGATTTCCTTCCACTCCTGTAGCCACCATTAGCTCTGCTCCTAAGTACAGCCTGCCACAGAGCCTCCTTGGACTGCAACTTCACAGCAAGGCTTGGCGGTACTGGCCAGTACCACTGCTGGTGCCAGACCAGACACCCACTTAAATGGAGCAGGTGCAGACATGAAGTGGGGCTGTGTCCTCCCTCAATTTGAAACTCAGCATTTCAAACCTAAAACTTACTGATATTTCACGAAGTCATATCTATGAATACGTTCTTTTGGTCTCATTCTCATAGGAGTTCCAATAATACGTAAGATGGTTGAAATTGTGGAACCTAGTACTCCTAGGTCCAAGTTCTTTTGAAAGCACAGTACAATTTTAGCATGCTGTAAGAATAGCAAGAGTTGCAAAGGTCTACTACTGAAAAACTTGCATGGAACCTAACACAAAAGATAGCATAGGATTAATAAACACTCCACAAAACAAATTCCAAGGGAAATGTTTGTTATGGATTCAAAGAAGCCAAACAGTCCTCGTTGTAAAAGTAACTCTCCAAAATGGCTATAAGGTATATATTATTTCCAAAAATATTTGAGTTCTGATGATCCCTCCTTTGATAGATTATATCAAAGTACTAATGATGTATGACATCAATCTATTCAGCTATTTTTTTCGATTCTTTATTTTATCAGTGTAAATAGTATAGTGATAACAGGTGATGATTAATTGTATCAACCAATTTCCAGTTATTATTTACAACTGTATTAAATGGTCAACTTTTACCTCCTTTCCATTTTAGTTAGAGATGATATGAATACCATAGGCTGTCTAAAATGACAATAATAGTTCAATGAGCAGTGCTGCAAATTAAGGGACTGTGTTGGTCAGTTGATGTATTTTGCCCAATTTGTTTGATGTGATAAAACATCCTTACTACTTTTGTCAAGTTACATGTTTTGTAAACACTTGATTAATGTGAATGTCATTTACATGGGTGAGTTCCATGCCATCTCATTAAGTATTAACTAATAATACTGTCTATTTTAAAAAAGAGTGCTTCACCATGGCCTAGTAACTAGCAAATCACTAAAAAGTATAGTGATTTATATACAGGTTATATTGTAATGGCAAACTAAGTTTTATAACTCCAGAATTAAAATTGTGTGTTATGTTAAAGTATTAAATATACTCTTAAGACATAAATTGGGCCTTTATTAATTAATGTTTATACCCATGTATGGAAGCTTTTCAGTTACTTCATATTTTCCTTTCATCATCCCATAAACTAAGAACTCATGATTAATATATAGATTTTATATCATTTCTGAATGTCAGCATGAAAAGCAAACTTTTTAAAAAATTCATCACTTCACAAACAAATGAATAACATTAGAGTCAGTGACATCATCTACTTATATTGTATTTTAGTTTTGAGTATTTTACTCATCCTATTTCATTGCCAATCATGCTTTTTAACATAATCTGTCCATAAGTATATGGTTATAAAGTTGTTTTTATTTTTTCTTTTCTCCCTGTATGTGGAATGTATTTCTTGTGAGGTAAGGTGAACAGTAACAAAAAGGGCTATTTCTGCATTTCCCAGACAAAATTGCTGCTTACCTTAAATCATTGTCTTCTCTTCGCTTGCTATTGCAATTCCAATTCTTCTGAGTTTGCTTTCTAACCTATTAACTGTTTCAGGATTTACGTCATATTGATTTTTAGCACCAGACAAACAATATTTGCCAATATTAGCCAAAGCAACTATTTCTTACCAGACTCAATTGATTATAAATTGCTATTGTTGATAAAGACTAAATAAAATTAACAATTTTTTGTCTTTAAAATAAATTTTAAATTATGTCAAAGTGACAATCAAAATCAAATCTAAAGAATATTAGGAAATTACATGCACATGAATTTTTATGATAGGTATTTCCACTGAGATGTCAAATTCTATCGTGATGTACTTAAATATTAAACCTAATTAACACTAAATGGAAGTGCATACTTTGTCCTGTATAGTTATGTTCTACACCTGATATAGTCATTAATGGTTATATTATTTGTTTACTAACTTTGTACCCCTTCATAAGTATACTTTTTAAAAGGATGATTTCACCTTTTAATATACTCAAAAATTACGAACTCCCTCCCTATAAAAAATAAAATTACATATTTAGGATTTTCCTGATTTAAAGATTTTGTTTTGTTTTATATTTTGGCTAAAATTTTGTGAATTTTTTAGTTTTTTAATTTAAAGGTTTTTAATAAGCCTTTGTATTCTGATTTTGAAGTTAAAATGATGTGTGATACCATTTTTACAGGTCATATACTAAGCATTTAAAAAATTTGCTCTAGGTCAGTGATATACCATTTTGTTTTCAACACGATTATTAATATTTTTTTGAAAAAACTTTTTTGATTTCAAAAATATACAGATTTTATTTAACCAGAGCAAGTTTTTACAAATGAGTTTTCAGCCTCTAGAGAGAGGGCCTTCGGGGTGGAACTGACGTGGCCATGGACTTGTGGTGTGAATGAACATGTGATCCTATTTGTCAGCTGATGTCTCAGGACTAAAAATAACTTTCTGGATTACAAAAAGATAGTCCAGTTAAAGTTCCAGTATCCTTTTCACAAACAACAGTGAAATAAAGTTCAATAACCCAATTGGCAAAGTATACAATTTTATGCGATGAACTACATAAGAATAGTTCTAAATTTATTGTGGCAAAACCAGAAAAGTGATACTGTATTTCAATGTCTTGTAAGCTCGTGCTCATCAGTGTGACCTTGATAACTTGGCATATGTTAGCTATAACTCAGCACAGATGGTCAAAGAAACAGTAGTTATTTTCCTACCTATGGGTTTCAATGGATGACTGCTAAACTGATTTCACTTTAATTTTGCAGCAGCCAAGAGTTTGTTGAAGAAACCAGATGGAGTAAAGGTAAGTTAAGTAGGTGTTCTTAAACCATATCTGACTTTCAGATGCTGCATAATTGTAAAATGTTAAATTTAAGCCCCACATCTTTGCACCTTGTATTTTTATAGTTCTTTATAATGGATGAAGGTTGAAATGTGAAATAATTCAGTACACAAAGATGACTACTATATATGAATATACTAAGACAAATTGTACCTTTTCAATTTGACTATATATTAAATAACCTTGAAAAATTAATATTTTTATATGGAATTCCAGTATAATATGAATATCTAAATGCTCACTGCTTTACTACAGTTCTGAACTGTCATGGTGATAAAAAAAATCTGTGAAAACCAAATGCTTTTCAAAAAAATTATGATGTATACTTGTAAGCCACCAAAGTGTATTACAGTCTGGGAAAGAAACTCAGTGGATCTGAGAAATCCAACATAAGATGACAAAATTCTGCTTGGGCAGTTTTTGTAGAGGTCTAAATTGTTCCCTATGCTTCTATTGTGAAAATGGATTTGAATTGCATCCTTTGAAAAAAATATTAGAAAAATCTTCCAAGAAAAACAAGATATTTTGATTTAATATTTTGTATTTCTAATAGAAATAATACAACTGATAAAAATAATACAAATACAGCTGTATTTGTTTCAAGAGAGTTTACTTTTGATGGAATATAACCATGTATGTGCATAATAATATCTATTCTCTTTTCAGAGTATCGTATAAATGTTTTATTTTTTAATCCTTTTATTTCTTTTCCAATGGTAGATGCATACATTCCTTATCAACACTTCAGCATTGTGGGAATTAATATTTTAACATTTGAACTTGACTTGAAGTCAGGTGGTCCGTCCATTCTGAAAATATAACATAGAAAATCATTTGTTGCTTCTTATGTTCATACCCCATTATTACTTCGTCACCTGTCTTTGTGTGATTTGGGAATTTCCAGAGCCATGGTGATCCTGCATTTGGAATCCTAGTAGGATGGCATTTCTGTTTATCACTTCTTTCCTCAACCTCTCATTTTATCCTCCTGCTGCTTATTTTTGGACTTTGGATTTCAAAAATGACAGCTGATATTTGCCTTTTTCCCAATGTTACATTGGTGGAAATGTGGTATTTTAAATTTTTCATGTTTTCTTCTCGACCATTCAGTGATAGAGAACTCAGAGTTTTTGATGAAGATGTTGATTTTTTACAACTACCTTTACATAGAAATAGTTTCAGAATTTCTTTCTTTTAGCAAACTTATCTCTCCTCTTTAAAGACAAAATTATTCTGTATTCCATGTTTTAAATTCAACTGGTCATTTTTTTTCTTTTCCTTTCACTTTGACTGGTCAATTCAGAAAAGGAAATCCAGTTCAAGTGTTCAAATGATGGTGAGGATCTCTCCCTGCAAGATTTCTTCTCAAAAACTCACATGTAGAAATAAAAACAGTCATATTTACCAAGTTAATGTGAATAACAATATAGAATTATTACAGACTAGTGATCATAACCTGTCATAACAACTTTCACATTATGTTGATTTTTTCTCTGAAAATTAATTTTTTAAATATGGAAGAAGTTAAATCTTCATCCATATCCTGTTAATGAGTTTGACCTTTCATATGGCCAAAGTCTAGTTTCTTCTTTGAAAATAAAGAAAACATGAAATAACTAATAAATGCTTACTGATAATTGAGCACTGTAGGGTTGTTTTTAAATGATGATCATGATTGCTAAAATAGGAGTGATTCTTAGCTCAAACTATAATACATTCATTGTGAAGTTTACAAATAATGTGAAAGTAATCTAATAGTAGACCTATCCTAAAATAAATGAAATATGTTTAAACTTCAGCCCTTAATAAATTCAGCACCCCCAAAATGGTGATAACTTACCTATAACTCATAAAAATAATTCAGCATGTCATTTAAATATCTGATTCAATTCAGATCTTATAGAAAAATATTATGTGTGCATAATGTAAAAAAAATTACATTTACTTATATGTTGGTTAAAAACAGCATAGTTGATCCAACACTTGATATTTGACTCTATGAAAGGAAGATCTAGTATTTTACTTAGAATTTTTCTATTATTTGTAATTAATTAACATTACAAATACCTCTAACATATTTCCCATAGTAAAAACAAAGAAACATTAGGCTAATTTAAGTCATGCCTCTTACATCCGACACTAAAGAATGCTTTCCCTAGGCAGAATGGCCTTCATTTGAGAGAGGTGGTGGTGTGAATACCCGATGAATCTATGTGAATGTGGGGGAGAGGGCATGTGTGTGCTTGTGCACATAAGTATGTGTGAATAGGTATGCATATGAGAGTCCTTTTTACTAAAATAAGGCAGTTTTTAGCAAGCACATCTTAGGGGGAAAAATCAATCTTAAATTGAAACAGAATAAACATATCAAAATTTCTGTCATTTGAATTCACTGATATAAATTAAATATAGCATTTTAAATACTTGTGACACCTTCATCATAAGTGTCCCTGATCATTTGATGAGAAGCCAGCTATGGTTTGCCAATCATTCATTTGTGTGCATCTCTCCCCCTTTCTTGTGTGTCTTACGCTGACCTAAATACATTTTTTTCTAAATACATTTTTGGTCCCTCTTTAATAGACACTATTACCTCATATCTCTTTTTTAACCCTTGTGAAAATTTCATGTTAAATTCTTTGAAAAAACTTTCTAAAACTACCTGCGAACTATAGATTCATAGTGTAATATGTAATGGATTTTGCAGAGAAGGGAAATTTAAGTTTCCTGCATGTCACACAGCAGTGTTACTTCTGTAAATAATGCTGATCTCAGTAACCACACAAATGTTTCTGCTACCTCTTCTTCTCAGTGCTGATTCCAATATAACTTACAGGCCTAAAGTACAAAGTTTTTGGAAAGCCCAAACAATTGTGTAATCATCTATTTTATGCTGTACGTGTTTCTCTTTAATTCCTTAAATACATTTATACATTCATTAAAATGGTGGGGTATATTCCTTTAGAAAATAATTAATAATAAAATACCTCAGTAATATAAGAAAATGAATATAGTTTATATTTCTTTCATAACTATAAAGTAATATGTTGTGCATGAGTTTAAAAGAATATTGATTTTTACTTTTTAGTCTTTGATTCTTGAATGTCCAAACTCAATTATAGTTTCAAGTTGCTACTTATCTACAAAGAATCCTCTTTATATGCCATTATAAAATTTACTGCCCTATGAGTTTCTGTCAAAACATCGCTTCCACAGCAGTAAAGATTTCTTGATGGTTAAAGCCAATTGTGAGAAAATGATATGACCAGATGTATTCTTCAGTGATAACAGTAAGCACTTTGACAGAAAAATGAAGTTTTCTCTCAAACAATTGTGAACAATTTTATATTTGACATATAATAAATATTTTTATTTCCCCACTAATAATTGATATATTTTAGAGGAGATCCAGACTTACCACTTTCAAAAAATATTTTGACACCTTCGTTTTTTCTGAAGATATACATTTTTAATTGGAGTGTCTAGTAAAAAAGTCGTGGTGGCTCTCCAAAGAAAGATGATCTGTGTGTGACTTCAGGATCAGTGATAAATGATAATTTAAAGAGGAATGTATTTATAGCAGTGAAGTTTGGAGACAGAATCCAACCTGAAAAACATGAAAATGATTATACTCATTTTATTTTCTATTTGAGCCTCATGGAAGCAGCATTTTGTCTGTTTCCTAAGGTGGCACAGTCAAAGCAGCCATGTCTGTTATATCACTGCACCATCATAGACAAGATCCTGGGCTGTGTGTGACCTTTGGAGGCTGGAGGTGGTGCCCTTCCTTCTGTCATCACCCTGTCTCTCCTGCTCATCTTCAGGCTCTTTATTTTCATGGCTGTATCTCTATATAGATATGCTGCATATGGAGACATTGGCTACCAAAGGGTTTAAGGTGCTTCTTTCTATTTTCTGCATACCCACAGATAAACAACAAAGCCAACGTGATAACCAGCCCCAAAGAAAATATTCCTACCCCAGCGCTGGTATACCTGGACTCTTTGTAACCCTTCTTAAGTTCTTTACTGTGTTTTGTTGTTTCTTTCATTTGCTTTTACTATATAGATACATTTATGTAAATATTCTATTTTCTTGACAGGTTTCTTTTGCTTTTAAGATATGAAAAAAGTTTATTTCTTTTTTGTTGGTGTTAAGATAGCTGTCAAATAGTGTGTTTCTAACATAAGATCATCTCATTTCACTGTTGAAAATTGTTTTGGTCTCTGTATTTGAGATTGTTGCATGCTGCCTTAGAAATACAGTAGAATGCGCTTTGGTTGCTCTTAGCTCTTCTGATGATGATAGCTCTTGTGCACACAGTGGTTTTTTTCTTTCCCTGACACAAACATTGGTATTGAGGAGAGCTAGCAGGATTATTACTGGACGACCTAAATCTAGACCTTATTCAAAGATCCTGCTTTCTTCTTCCTGAAAGACAACATGGCTTTGTAAGACCTCACTTACTGAGATAAAGAGGCACTAGGTAATTTCAAGCTTTTCATTTGCTGTGTTTTAAATTAAATTTCACTGTTTCACATTAATCTAGAGAATAAAAATTGCATAGATTAGAATTACCAATAGAAACCATTTGTCCATTTCACTCAAATTCACACAATTCACTTAATCAGTTTAACACCTTGATATGGTATTATATTGAAATTCAAAATTTGAATACTGTCATTCAGTTGCTCTGAGTTCCATAATATTTTACACAAACTGTTCCATATTTTGATGTATGATTTTCAGCAATATTTCTGAATTTTTACTTTTCCTGTACTATTATTTTAAATAAATGAAAAATATTGCAGGATTATTTCCCTTGGATTAGCCAATAGGCTCAGTTTAAAGGCATTTAAAGGAAGGACACATCAAGATAGCATGTTATCAGGGCTGGGGAGTAGCTCAGTGATTATATTGGTCAACTTTTTGGGCTGGGCATTTAGCTCAGTGGTGCTGCCACCTGCCTTGCAAACAAAAGGCCCTGAGTTCAATTCCCAATACCCGCCCCCCCAAAAAAAGCTTTCTCTCTCTTTTTTATTTTCCTCATTGAGTTTATTGGTACTTTGTAGGTATACAGTACAGTTACATTCATCATTGGGCTCTTGTACCTTTACATGACAGGTCTTGGTTCTCATTTTCTCCCCATACCCCTACCCTCCCTTTACCCCTTTCCTCACTTCCCTATTTACAAACACTTTATTTCCATTTTTCATTTTCTCAGATTTTTTTCTTTTCCCTATTTCCTTTCCCCTACCCTTCCCACTTCTCCTGCACCTTTTTCTTACAAGCACAAAATACCTGATACCCACAATTTAAAGGAAGGGAGGTTTATGTGGCTCACAATTTCAGAGGTTTCTCTCTGTGGTCAGCTGGCTTCAAGGTACAAACATCATGGCAGAGAATAACGGCTCACCTCTTGTTGACCAGAAATAGAGAGATAGGAAAGGTCAGGGGACAAGAATACACCATTCCAGGTTATGCCAACAGTGATATATCTCTTCCAGACAGGCTCCACTTGCTAATGTCATATTTACTTATGGATTCATCAATGGATTATTCCACTCATCACTAGCATCCCTATAATCCAATCACTTTCCAAAAGCCCTACCTCTGAACACATGAGAATTTGGGGGAACATTTTAGATTTAAACCATAGCAATGGTAGAATAATTGCCTGCCAGGTGCCTGGGTTTGTCCCCACAACCACAAAAAATAAAAACAGTGTTGATCCTAGCTTAGGGAAGGAAGAAGAGAAGCAATAGATATAGTTTCTGTGTGCTGTAAACCACTATGGTGAGAAAGTGGCTGCTCTAAGAGAGAACTCTCACTGGTTTGCAGTAACTCTCAGTTGCCAAGCCATTGTGTAATGAAAGTGCCAAGCAAGTAATTGATGTATCAACATTGAATCTTTTTTCTATCAGTTATTTGAATATTATTTTCCAGTTGACAATATTGTTTTGATTTTCTGATATAAAGCAACAGGATCCCAACAATGAATGTAACTGTACTGCATCCCTAAATGTACCAATAAACTCAAAAAAAAAAAAAAAAAAAAAGCAACAGGAAAAATAATATTTTCATCATGGAAAAACATGACTTAATCAAATATTCTATATATTAAATCCATAAAGCAAGAAAATTTTAGAAATGAATTAAAGCAGGATTTAGTAGCAACATGTTTTTAATTATAGTGGTTGTATGATTTTTATAGAACCTTGTAAATGAACTATTTAATAAATGTTCCTTAGAATTTCTCATGAACTTTTGGAGCGAATTCTTTAGGATTGACATTTTTAAAATTTTGTCCAACATTTCTAGATTTTCCAAGGATATTCAGCTATGTGTTAACTATAATGGCTCCATAATCAATTCTCAGAGCAACACAGCTAAAAAATATCTAGAGAATTGAAAATCTTTTCAAAGATTATCTTCAGTGTCCTTGTCCAGTTTTCTATGGGACAGACATTAACAAGCCTCTCATTAAAGAAGAAAGACAAGCATTATCTGGCATGGGATATGGTGAAACAGTGAGTGCCTCTTTAGGTCTCCCAGCTTCAAAGCCTTGTATGTATCCTGATCAGGAATAAGGTCTTTTGCATGCTGCTTCTGCGTAGGGAGGTGTCCTACCTCGTAGGCTCACCAGGGAGAGCTTTCATCAGAGATCTTGTCAGCTGTAGCCTCGGACAGCAGCTAACATGGCTTTAGCTCTTGTCACTCTTTCATTTTTGTCAGTTGACTCATTCGGCTCTGTCCCTCCAACTAGTAAGAATGTATTTACCAATGCAAACTGTTTCTTTCTCTATTTTGTTCTCACTCAGGAGCCCCAAACTACTGTAATCCACAACCCTGATGGAAACAAGGTATTCAGAAAGAATCAACATCATCTAGCTTTCAGAAGATTACACATCTCATCAAATAATCAAAATTTGTTCTTTATCCAAAAATAGAAAAGAAAATCTGCACCTTTTTTCTACTGCACTTTCTTTTCAACTGATTGGTTTAAAACCATGCACAGACTTCTTTCAATTAAAATGAATGACAACCTGAAAGAGAAATGAATAATATTTTGATCAATAAAAAATAAAAGGCAGTTTAAACATTTACAAAGTCATTATATCAAAATGTCTGTGTATCTTAAGCAATATCATCTGGTCTTTTCTTTTTCCCATGTCTCTTTCTGCATTGTACTGTGGATCTATATACTGCTTGAAATCTTAGAATTTCTTGCTGTCATTCCATTGTCTTCAGAAATACTAACTTCTATTCATAAGTTTTGTTTATATTTAATGTTCTTTCAAGTTTTATTCTTTTCTGTTGCCATAGTGTGTTTTTTGCTTTGTTGTTTTTCTTGTTGTTGTTCAGTTCCTTCTTGTGGACAGTGTTATTTGACAGAAACTTGAGGAGAATCAGAGTTTCACTTTTTGTGAAATATGTTTGTCATTGTTGAGTTATATGTATTTCAGTAACAGATTTTCTGACTATGCTGAATGAAGACTAATGTGTTCTACCCATTGTAAATTATTTGTATAGTTTGTTAACTAAATAACAGCACTTGCATACATGTCTGTAGGATGAAAGGGGACATTTTATGAATGTATTCCCTGTTTCTAGTTCATTACTTTTTATACATTATTTATCTCAAAAACCAGGAAAAATACATCATCCAACTTTTCTCAAATATTTAGTATAAGTTATGTTTCTTACTTCTCCTTACTTGTATCAGTGATGTTGAAGGCTTACAAAACACATTCCCTCTCTATTTCAATAGTTGGCTGATTAATATTAAAACCATTAAAGTAAAAAAATGAGAAATGTTCTGTTTTCATGATGAGATATATTCAATAGTCATAACACTGGAAATATTCTATAGCCCTAAAAGACTTGATAGTCAGTAGCATCACATAGGAGAATGACTTTTAATAGAGTTAGAAAATGAAAGACCAAGCATAACAGTGGAGTGGACCCTTCCCTAGTTCTAGCTATAACATTTGTAAGAGTTGCATGGTATTTCTTGCTTACATGAATTAGTTTATTTTTACAGTGCATGGATTTACTTTCATTTTGAATTTAAATCTGAACACTATATCACATTGAGAAATGCATGAAGACTTTTCTTTGGCTATGTAGGAGAACTCTGGATACATCTTTATTACTTTGTTTTAAAGATTGTATATGATACTTAAATAAATTTATCACTTTTAAAATATTTATAGAAGGACACAGAATAGTATTTGAATCATTTTCCAAAATCTATTTTTCATCACTCTTCATATAGCTGTTAATTAGAAGCTTGTTTCCAATTATTTTCAGCTCTAGCCTTTACTCATTCCATGTAGAATATTGTGTCTTTCTTATGAACAGTGCAAAATTTCTTTGCCAAAAATATCTTAGTACATTTTATATAGAAATATTTATCAAATCATCTTAAAAAGTATATTTAATATGGGCAATTACAGTGTCTTTTTCAGTATACTAACTAATCTTCAACTTCATTTGTAGTTTTACAAAGAAAGCTTTTTTTTTTTTTTTTTTTTTTTTTTTTTGTATTGGGGATTGAACTCAGGTCCTTGCACTTGTAAAGCAGGTGCCGGAACCACTGAGCTAAATCCCCAGCCCAAGAAAGCTTTTCATTATGGGAGACAGTCTTCATCAATAACAGCCACTTTCTAAGTGAACAAAGATTGGAAAAGTCTAATTGTCCCTAAAAAGTAAATTATTTATTATAATCCCATTGTGTTGATCATAAACATGAAAAAAAAATCTTCTTGCCATTTTCAGTTTATCTAAGCTTAATCCTTTAGCTACTTCATTAAATGATACAATGTATGCTTTCTTCTATTTACAAAGGAGTAAGGTGGACAGATAGGCTGCAAGTTCAGTGCTTGACATAATGCCTTACACAGAAGGTGCTATTTACTTATTGATAAATTGAAAATAAAAATAGCTCTATTTAAGATTCAAATTCATTTGAATAATATACTCGGTTTTTCATAATCCCACAGAAAAGCACACCTTTTGAGGTACTGTACAACAAAGACACCTTTATACAGTTCTGAAAATAAACTATATTTCTGCCACTTCTACAGCTTACCTGGACTTATATTACTTTGAGGATTAGGCAACCAGAGTACTCCCTTTTTGAAATGTTTGCAGCATTTGACATTTTATTTCTGTTAAAAACCACTTTATTGTATTTGGCCATTTGCATGTCAACATATGCACACAGCCTGCTGAAGAATTTTGCATGTTATGTATATCACTAGCCAATTTTTTAAGAAGTCAAGCTAGTCACTGTCTGCAACTTAAAAATATGTTTTCTTCTCAACAGGAGTCAACAGAGAGTTCAAATACAACAATTGAGGATGAAGATGTAAAAGGTATGATTTAACCAGAAATAAAAAATCCTAACTCGGAACTCCATATATATCAGGAAAAAAATATATACACAATTGGGTTTGTCATGAGACACATTTAGAAAGCAATTTGTATTTCAGGATATAGTATGAAAAATAACATTTTAAAAACTTTTGATGGTGTCAAGTAGGGATCAATGAAATTTGTATTTGATAGACTTTTTATCCTGTTTTCCTGTGCTTTCCTAATGCATTCTTGACCCCCATTCATTTTGGTTGTCAAAGTGTTTTTAGCTACTGACATCTCAGTTTCTCTTTACAAACAGATAAACACATATTTGCAGTTGCCTTACTTCCTTTTGGCCACATCACTGTTTTAGAAGTGTTAGTTTGGTTTTAATTCTTTTGCAGTTTTATTTCATTTTTACAATTCAGTGTATAGCTACAGGGCCCATGTCTTGAACCTGTTAAGTAAAAAATATGATAATAATAAAAATTTAAAATAGAAATCTTAAAAGATTATAAAGAAAATTGAAAGATGGATCTATCATTTAATTAGGCCTTATCTGGAAAGATTATTTACCTAATGGTATCATCTAGCTCTAATTCTGTAGGTGGTATTAGGAAAGCTGTATACATGCTATAGTCAAGAACTAGGAAACTGTGGCCAAGGATTTAGCTCAGTGGTGCTGTGCCTGCCACTCAAGTGAGGGTCCTAAGTTCAATCCCCGGAATGCGGGGGGGCAAAGAACTAGGAAACTCTTGCCTCAAGGAGGTTTAGGGACAGTTTAAGCAATAAAACTGGCTATAGATCATCAGTTGCCAGTAATCTCTGCTGACTTTTTTCTTTCTGATTGAATAGAATAGCTGATGAGATTAAAGTATGCTCTATTTATATTACTAGCACACTGAACTGACTGCTAGAGGTAACCAGACATTATTTTTTACAGTGCAAAGATGGATGGCTGTGTGGAGGATTTTGTTTAGTAGATTTGTTCATCCCACTCTTACCTCTGAGCTAAAATTTGAACTGAAGTAATTGTATGAATCACTGATGTTAGTCACTTTAGATAAAGAGATTATTTTAACCACACAAACAGATGTGCTATTTAGCTCTCACAGTGATTCAAGAAGAATCATCTTTATAAGTGTTTTGGATCCATTACCTTTTTCAACTAAGCAAATATTTCATATGTTATTTTTATATTCTTCCTTGATGAAAGTTTTAATATACAGTGGAGAAAGCAAATCTTTATATAACTAAATAAAGTTAAGAGAATACTAACATCTTGCTAAATGCTGTTCATTCACCAAATGATATTGTTATTCCTTAGTGATTATGACCAGGGTTGTAATTTTTTATTATGTAAACTAGTGTTAAAAAGAGGCCCTTGCACTGTATGATGATGCATGCGTATAATTTGAGTTACTCTGGAAGTTGAAACAGGAGCATTGAAAATCTAAGGCCAGCCTGGGCAACTTAGTGAGGTCCTGTCTCAAAATAAAGTAAAAAGGGCTGGGGATATAGCTAGGTATTCCCTGGACTCAATCCCTAGTGCCACAACAAAAGAAAAAACAAGTTCCTCTGAGATGTCACAAGAGAAGCAGTATTTGTCTCTATAACTGTGCTGTACACTAAATATTTAGGGAAATTAAACATAGTGATGAGAGAAAAAGAAATATCCGAATGATTAATTGAGCCTAAGGTACTTTGGCTTATTTATCTAAACCTAATAAATAAATTTCTGCTTAATTTTACTAGCATGGATATGGCCACAGAGTCATAAATATAGCACCTTAGGCCTTATTTTGCTGTCTACAGGATTTATACATGCAAGGTTTGTTAGCTAATACTGAATGATATAAGAAACTTTTAAGACTAAATGATGCTTTGAACAATTTCCCAGCCCATTATTCTATCAGGCAGATGGTACATGAACTCATGGTGAATGTTTTTAATGTGTTTATTGTGCAAGTAATAAGCTTGTACAGGAGTCTCCATTTATCAACCCACAATCCTAAGAAAGACTTTAACATAGTCCTGTATTTGAAAGATGATGCTCTTTTCCCTTTGCCTTAGAATTTGCTACAGCTCTAGGCAGCTTAGTAGAAAATGTGCTTCTTGTCCAGCTCTGTTAGAACACAAATTTACCTACATATCTAACATCCAAGAGCTCACAAAGACTGTCTTTCATATAACCCAACTTCCTCAGTACAACACCATGCACTATTCACAAAACTGCATGTCTTTCTTCCACACATATATTCTCTGACCTCGTCCTTTCCATGTAGAGCCTTGGTATTGTAGTGAAACATCACATTTTTTTTTCTCATTGAGTATATTGGTAATTTGAACTAAACAGTACAGTTACATTTATCATTCAGATCTTGTACCATTACATATATGACAAATCTTGGTTCTCATTTTTCCCCCATACTCCTGGCTCCCTTCCCCGCTGCAACCTTATCTATTTACAAAGCCTTTCCATTTTATACTTTTCTCATATTTTGCCCTTATTTACTTTCTCCTACCCTTCCCACCTCCCCTACACCTTTAGCCCTTTTCTTCCTCTTTCATGTTGTCAGGTATACAATCTGGATCTTATTTACACTTTTAATTTTTCATGCCAGAGAAACTATTCAGTATTTCCACATGTGTATTATTTGTTTCACTTAAGTATAGTCTCAATATGCATCCCATTTTTCCTATGAATTACTCAACATTCATATTTTTAATGGCTGAGTAGTATTCTATTTTATGGGAAAACTACATCTTCTTTATCAAATCTCCAACTGATGGGCAAAGGGGTTGTTTCCAAGTTTTAGCTATTACAGTCTGTGCCACTGTAAACATGGGTGTACATCTATCACTGTGATATGATTCTTTTAAACCTTTTGGAAAGATACCCAGCAGAGGGATGGCTGGGTCAAATGGAACCTCTAATCCTAGTACTTTGAGCTATCTCCATATTAATTTCCATAGTGGTTGCACCAATTTGCATACCAGCCAACAATGGAGAAGGGCTGCTTTCTCCACACAATCCCACCAACATGTGTTATTGGTTGATTTCTTGATAGCATCCATTCTTTCTGGGGTGAGGTGGAACCTCAGTGTTGATTTCATCTGCATCTGTGTAATGACCAGGGATGTGGAACATTTTTTCATATATTTTTTTTGCTTCTTTTACTTTTTTGAGGAATATCAGTTCATTTCACATGCTCATTTTTGTATTGGGTCTTTACATTTTGGGGGAGCTGGCTTCTTTGAGTTCTTCATATATTCTAGATCATAGTCCTTTGTCTGAGGAGCAGCTGGTAAAATTTTTTCCCACATTGTAGGTTGTTTCTTATCTCAGTTGGGAGTTACTTTTGCAGTGCAAAAGATTTTAATACAGTGAGATCTCAGTTGTTGATTCTTGTGTTAGTTCCCATGCTAAACTATACTGCAAAGCCAATGTGATAAAAACAGCATGGTATTGGCAAAGAAACAGACCTTTGGATCAGCAGAATAGATTGAAAGATACAGTTGTTCTGCATATGTACTCAGCTACCTCATCTTTGACAAAGGAGCCAACCATCCTCACTGGAGGAGAGATAACCTCTTAAATAAATGGTGTTGGGAAAAACTAGATTTCAACCTGCCAAAGAGTAAAACTGGACCCTTATCTTTAACCAGGCAATAAACTAAAGTCCAAGCAGATTAAAGATCTAAATATGAAAAAAGAGAAACTCAATTTTCTGGAAGATCAGTGAGGCAGAACTGTTGAAGACATTGGCATAAAAAAGACTTTATGAACAAATCCTCATTAGCATGGGAACTAGCACAAGAATCAACAACTGGGATCTCACTGTATTTTAAATCTTTTGCACTGCAAAAGAAACCCCCAACCAAGATAAGAAACAACCTAATGTGGGAAAAAATTTTTACCAGCTGCTCCTCAGACAAGGGACTATGATCTAGAATATGTAAAGAACTCCAAAAATTCAGGCCCCCAAATATAAAGACCCAATTCCAAAATGAACATCTGCAATGAAGTGACATTTCTTAAGTAAAAGCAGCAAGTAAACATATGAAAAAATGATCCATGTCACTGGTCATTCAACAGATGTAGATGAAAACAACACTGAAATTCCACCTCACCCCTGAAAGAATGGCTGCTATCAAGAAATCAACCAATAACAAGTATTGGTGGGGTTGTGGGGAGAAAGGAACCCTTCTCTATTTGTGGTTGGTGTGCAGACTGGTGAAACCACTATGGAAATCAATATGGAGGTACCTCAAAGGACTAGGATTAGAGGTTCCATTTGACCCAGCCATCCCTCTGCTGGGTATCTTTCCAAAAGAATTAAAATAATATTATCACAGTGATATATGCACACCCCTGTTTATAGTGGCACAGTTAGTAATTGCTAAAACTTGGAAACAGCCCCTTTGCCTTGATAAAGAAGAGGTGGTTTTTCTACAAAATGGAATACTACTCAGCCATAAAGAATGAGTCATTAGAGTCATTCATAGGAGATTGGATGCATATTGAGGATATACTCAAGTGAAATAAGTCACACATGTAAATATCGAATAGTTTCTCTGGTGTGAAAAACTGTGATTGTAAATAAGATCCAAATTTTACATGACAACATGAAAGAGGAAGAAAAGGGCTAAAGGTGTAGAGGATATGGGAATGGTAGCAGAAAAGAAATAAGGTAAATAAAAACATATGAGAAAATGAAAAAATCAAAGTTTTTGTAAATAGGGAAGGGAGGAGGGGGTTAAGGTAGGGCAGGGGTATGGGGAAAAAATCAGAACCAAGACCTGTCATGTAAAGGTACAGGATCCTAATGATGAATGTAACTGTACTGTGTACCTAAAATGTACCAGTAAACTCAATGAGAAAAAAAATCACATCTCTTTAGTCCAGATGATACAGTCAATAACACAATAGCATCAAGCAAAGCTTAAAAATTGACCATTTGTTGTAGTAATTAAGCTATCATCTTTAAACCATGTAAATTTAATAAAAAATTAT